GAGTCAGAAGTCCGCCCAGCTTGGTGCTGGGACACAGGAGCCTCCCTGTGAACCATGAGCTTCCTGAGGGTGGAGCCTGGGTGGGTCCTGTTGCCCCCCTCCATGAGTACCCCGGGCCTGGCTCACAGCAGGAGGGAGGTAGAAGGAACAGGCACCTGAATTTAAGGATGCCCCTTGGGGCCAAGCGTGGTGGCTCACGCCTGTAATCCCAACACTTTGGGAGGCCGAGGTGGATGGATCACCTGAGATCAGGAGTTCGAGACCAGCCTGGCCAACATGTTGAAACCCGGTCTCTACTAAAAATACAAACAATTAGCTGGGCGTGGTGATGGGCACTTGTAATCCCAGCTACCCGGGAGGCTGAGGCAGGAGAACTGCTTGAGCCCGGGAGGCGGAGGTTGCAGTGAGCCGAGATTGCACCACTGCACTCCAGCCTGGGTGACAGAGTGAGACTCTGTCTCAAAAATAAATAAATAAATAAATAAATAAATAAGGATGCCCGTTGGTTTTCCTGCCCCACGTAAGGATGAACAGGGAGGGAAGTCAGGAGGGCGGTGAAGGCTAAGATCCCTCAAGCCGACCCACGAAATCCCTGTCCCCCTGCAGGACTATGGCTCCAGCAGAGCCACCCTCACAGCCCAAGGAGCAGATGGTGCCTCTGGAGCTGTGGGGTATGGTGGCCCGACCCTTGAGCACCTCCTGCCCACCTTGTCAGAGTCTTTCCAGCTTTGAGCCAGACAAAACTGCCCCAGAACTTGGCTCTGGGCCCCAGCCATGCCCACGGGCCAGGGAGATCATTTCCTCAGCCCTCCCAGCCTCGGTTTCTCTCCTGGAGGGTAGACACAGGGCGCTGGGGCCCCCGTGCCAGCCTAGGAATCTTCCTGCAGGTTTTCTGTTCCCCCAGGGTGATGCCTGTACTTTGCTCCCCCTCCAGATAGGCCTGTTTTCTCCCAGCTCCAGGCACGCATGCTTGCACACTCCTTGGCACACGCAGGCACGTGCATGCACACTCACAGTCATGTGTGGACACATGCACATTGACACACACACGCAAACTCTTACAACATGAGCGTGCAGGTGCTCGTGAACACCCACTCACGGGCACACTTGCCACACATCACTTGGTGTGTACCCCAGATCCCAGGGGCCGTGGACAACATTCAAGCTCTCTCCAGACCCTCAGAGTCCAGGCTGAAAAAGCTTCTCTGGAATTCCCCCAGCTGCCCGCTCCCGGCCTAAAGGTGTTCCCGCTCTCACCTGTAGGGGGACGAGGCTGTCCAGGAGAGATAATCCGGACTCAGGGCGGTGGGCCGGGGAGCCACGGGCTGCTCGATGGCGGCCTCCTGGCTGTAGGACTTGAGCAGCGAGGCGGATCGGCTGGCCAGCATGGCCCTTTCGTTCCTGCGGAACTTGGCGCGGCGGTTCTGAAACCAGACCTGTGGGTGGGAGGGTGAGCAGGGTGCAGCATGGGCAGGGGGGACCCAAGTCCTTTTGGACCTGGGTGTGTGCCTGCTCTGTCACCAGCCCTGGGTTGGCGGCATCGCCTCTCTGAATCTCAGTTTTTTCATCTGTAGAATGGGGATGACAAATGACGCCTGCTGCTGGGTATGTGTTGGAGAATGAGAACACCAATAAATGAAGGAACGAATGGAGGGGCACGCAGCCACTGGGAGCGAGGTGCTTACTGAGCCCTCGCGGGGAGAGGTGCTTGCTGAGCACTTGGGGAGAGAGGTGCTTGCTGAGCCCTCGGAGGGGAGAGGTGCTTGCTGAGCACTTGGGGAGAGAGGTGCTTGCTGAGCACTTGGCTCAGTGCTGGCACACAGTAAGAACTTGAAACTGGAAAAGGACTTCTTTATCAGAACCCTTTGTGCCAGGCATTGCTCTAAGCACTTCACGAAAACTTATTTTTGTTTATTTGTTTATTTATTGAAACAGAGTCTCGCTCTGTCACCCAGGCTGGAGTGCAGTGGTGCAATCTCGGCTTCCTGCAACCTCTACCTCCCTAGTTCAAGCAATTCTCCTGCCTTAGCCACCCAAGTAGTTGGGATCACAGGTGCACGCCAGCGCGCCCGGATAATTTTTGTACTTTTAGTAGAGATGGGGTTTCATCATGTTGGCCAGGCTGGTCTCAAACTCCTAGCCTCAAGTGATCTACCTGCCTCAGCCTCCCAAAGTGCTGGGATTACAGGCATGACCCACTGTGCCTGGCCGCTTTATGAAAATTTTAACTCTAATTCTTGAAGGACCCCTATAGCAAAGACCTACGTGATCCTTATTTTCCAGGGAGGCAGGAGCCTGCAGCACAGAGAGCTTAAGTTACTTGCTCAAGGTCACACAGCCAATAAGTGACAGGGCTGGGATTTGAACCCCCATCCTCCTGGCCTCAGATACTCCTGCTCTTAAACACCCCTCCTGGGCAATTGTGTCATCCCGGGAGAACAGAGGCTGTGCGCTCCCAGGCGCACGTTCCTACGGCAGGCCCTTCCCGGGACTGAGCGCTCACCTGGACGCGCGCCTCGCTGAGGTTGACGCGCCGGGCAAGCTCCTCGCGCACAAAGGCGTCGGGGTAGTGCGTGCGCTCGAACACGCGCTCCAGGGCCTGTAGTTGGCTGCTGTTGAACGTGGTACGGTTCCGCCGCTGCTTCTTCTTCCGCTTGGCGGCGCTACCGCGCCCCGGGCTAGGACACTCACCTGAGGAGGTCGAGGGGGCGGGGGGATGGTCAGCAGGGCGGCCAGTGGCTACGTCACGGTTCAGCCCCCAACTGCGCAGTTTGCTCTGAGTGCTTTAGTGCCTCCCTCTGCAGACGGATGGTCCAGCCCCGCAGCCCGGAATGCACCCCTTTAATTCACTCCCTCATTCCTTCCGGCATCCACCCATCCATTCACTCTTCAACACATACTTACTGAGCACCTACTATGTGGCAGGCCCAGCGCCAGACTCCGGGGAGATAATGGTGAACAAAAGCAGCCACACCCCTGCCCTGTGGAAACCCCAGTCTGAGCCAACTGAGATGGGACCACGGCAAGAGCCCTGGGGACAGGTGTCCCCTCCACCAGGGACAAGTGACCTGCTCAAGGAGGGCCCAGGAGACACCTGACTGTCCTCAGCACCCGGCCGAGGCTGTGGGGCATGGCACATTCTGCATGGACACCTGTTGCTGACGTGTAATAATAATAATTAATATGTCATAAAGAGCAGTGGGAGTCAAGGCTCAGGACCCACAGATTCTAGGAAGCTCCCAGGAGCCCTAAAGATAGATGTCGCGATCTTCATCACTCCTAAGGAGGAAGAGTCAGAGAGGCTACGGTCTCGGGCCCAAGCTCAAGGGCCCAGTGGAGTCATTGTTGGGGGAGGGATCTGAACCCACCAATCGGGTACCAGAGTCCTCATCCTCTCCTATTTAGCCAATCAGGCAGCTGTTGAGAGCAGCCTTCCTTTCCAGAGGGCCTACTAAGCCAGAGGGTGTGCTGGGGCTAGGGAGAGACGAACCAGACGGATTCATCAGCAGGGGAGGCAGACCCCGGATAAGCTTTGGTGGGGCCGTGAGGTGGGTCAGAGGCAGGTATGGGCCAGGGCACGGGAGGATGCTCAGCTCTGGTGGGGATAAGGAGCTGGCCGCGAGGCCCCTCAGGAGAGGTGCAGCTTGCAGAGGGTTTGAAGGATCCCCAAGAGTTCTCCCATCAGCCAGAGAGTGAGGGAGGGTGTCCAGCCAAGGCCCAGCAGGGGTGGTGGAAGATCCCAGCAGCAGACCTGACCGAGGGTGGCGCTGGCCTGTGGTACAGAACTAGCAGTTCTGGTAAGGAGGGTCCAGCAGAACCCTGGGGAGGTCCTGGGGTGGCAACCTCTGGGCCCAGCCTGTACCTTGGGGGATGGGGTGGGGCATCCAGCTACTATTTCCGCATTTAAACTTTATCCAGGGGCCAAACCCCTGACCCTTCATCCTCTAGGGTCCAGCCCACTGTCCACTCCTCCAGGGCGCCCTCCCCGATCCTGAGTCCACGTGGAACCCCCTTCCCTCCAGCACTTAGAATC